CTTTCTTTCTCTGTCTATATTTCTATCTATCTATATTTTTTTACGATTTTTATTTCATTCTTGTTCGGTTCTTTCAAATTGATGAAGGTGGTAGGTTGCTCTGGTAGTTGGCCTGTGTTATTGCCAGATACGTGTTGGAATTTCTGTTCTCACATACACACACACACACACATACACACACATACACACACACACACACACACACACACACACACACTGGAGAATTCAATGTTTTGTTTATTTAATTCGTATTTTTTGTATGTGTGTGTGTGTTGTATTGTGTCGGTATTCGTCGTCTCTTATTGATTACGTTTTATGTTTGTTTGTTTCTACATTTTTTGTTCTTTTCGTTGTTTCTGTTTTCGTGTTTTTTTTATTGATTATTGTTATTTTCTTATTATTATCATTGTATTATTATTATTATTATTATTATTATTATTATTATTATTATTATTATTATTATTATTATTATTATTAGTAGTAGTAGTATTATTATTTTTATTATTATTATTATTATTATTATTATTATTATTATTATTATTATTATTATTGTCATTATTATTATGAACTTTCACTTCCATATAATTCTCTATTTCATCTTTTCTCTGTTTATTCCTTTATCTTAAGTCTATAATCTGTGTTTATTATAGTGATTAAATTTGTTATCTATCATCAATAACTTTTCTGACTGACTGACTGACTGACTGACTGACTGACTGAGTGACTGAAAATATCTCTCTCATCCCCGTAGCTCAAATGCATACCAGTTACTCTTAACACAACAGTTTATTTCCAGTCACGGATTTTTTTTTTTTTTTGCTTTTGTTCTTGTCAGTATTGGAATTTGTTGAGTAGCTGTATTACTTTATTATTTATTTATTACGTTTAAGCTTCATCTCTTCCTACCTACCTCAGGCGTCTGTGTCAGTTCTCCTTTTTCTAATAATGAGTTCACTAAGGTGTTTGTTTGTTGATAAAAATTCCTTTAGGCTTAGCGAAGATTTTTTGTTTTCTCACAATTTTATTAAGGATGTAAATATTTTTTTTTTTTCGTTATATATATATTTATTGAAGACTAATTTATATTTGGTTGATAAATGTTACTGCGGACTTTATTTTATTTATTTATCTTTTCTGAGAAGTTATATAAAATTAGATGTTATTAATACAAATAGAATGGAGGGTATATGCCGTCAGGAGACACCTTTATACGTGTGATCTCTCTAAACCTATTTCTTTTATTTTGTCTTTTTTTATATATTCTTTCTTTTACAACTTTTGTTTAAATCTCCCTGGATATTGCTCAAGCTTTTTTTTTTTTTGGACGTGTGTGTGTGTGTGTGTGTGTGTGTGTGTGTGTGTGTGTGTGTGTGTGTGTGTGATAGATACGTCCTGTTTTTATGTTTTCATTTTACACAAAAGCTTAGCGCCGTTTATGTTGGTGTTTAATCTGTAGCTTTTGTGTTAACCAGTATTCAACTTTTTTTTTGTTGGTCTCGTGTACTGTGCTTTGCTCTTGTCTGCTTTTGTATAGTTGTCGAATTTTCAGCTTTTGTTGAATCCTGTTCCACTGTTCAACTCTTTTTTTTTCCATCCACGGTAAAGCTCTTGTGTACTTTTATTTATACTCATGTACGACTTTTGTGAACTTTTATTGAGTTAGCTGTTGTATGTTTCTTCTGTGTAGCTTTTGTTGTCGAGTGTTTTAGTATTATCTTTTATTTTATAACTGGCTACAGTTGTTATCTACTTTTGTTAACTATAATACGGCTCGTGTTAACTTTTGTTTTTCCTGGATATGTCAAGTCTCTCTCTCTCTCTCTCTCTCTCTCTCTCTCTCTCTCTCTCTCTCTCTCTCTCTCTTTATCTTTAATGAAGGACGACGTTTGTTTCAGAAGTCGTTTTTATAAATAAATCCCGGTGACCCGAGTCGTTTTTATATATTTTTTTACCTAGTCGTTGTCTAGAGTGAATATATAATCACCGAGTCGTTTTTATTTCGTCACAAATATTCGTCTTCGTAAATCTCTGAGGACGAAGATAATGTTATAATGCATCGTTCAACAGCCAAGGTCTATTTATTAGTTTAGATAGTACACGATTATTTCCCTTATGGACGTACAAAATTAATTACAGTATGTCGGTGTTTCTGTACTGTCTATATCTATGTAGAATTCCTCTGAAAGTATTTGATATCTGTTAAGTTTATTTATATATTTGTTATTGTTGTTTTTTGTTTGTTTTTACATAAATCATTGCTGTATTTGTGTTGTGGTTGCCAGACTTTTCACACAAGGCTGCAAATTCTGACGTAATCAACTCTCACCATCCTTTCCTTTTCCTCCTTCTTCAGATCTCCTCCTCTTCCCTCCTTCCCTCGCCGTTTATCACTGCCTTTTGTTACTCTTCGTCTTCTGTAAGCCGCTCGTTCCTCACGAAAATTTGGAAAGCACGAAAAATAAAAAACCCTCAGAAATTGGAAACTCACGGAGCATTCCGAAATCCACCAGCCGTCGTTCGAATACCTTTACTTAATCTCACGAAATCTTTCATTTGTTTTGAATCTCCTCTGCTGTGTACACGTCAGAAAATAAAAAACAATATTTCGA